TAGTAACACCCACACAACAGCAGTATCATTCACAGGACGATCTTGGACAGTACTCATTCGGTTACAGGGAACCATTATCAGCTAAACAGGAAGTGCGTTCCTTGGATGGTGTCACTAGAGGCGCATATAGTTACATTGATGCTGAAGGTAAATTACAGACAGTTCAGTATACTGCTGATGCTGATGGATTTCATGTAGCTGCTACAAATTTACCGAAAGCTATGAGCGTGTCTAATTTTCGTCGCCAAAGTGCGCACATTCCAGTTACCAACAATGTTCCAGTTGCCGACAATGTTCCAATTACCGACACTATTCCAGCTACCGACAATGTCGCAGTTGCCTCAGCCCGTGCAGTTCACTTGGCAGGTAATCAACAGGCTGGGTTGTACCTGGCAGAACCTATCACCAATAGTCTCAAATCCACCGGAATGGACGCAAATGACCGCAATTTGGAATTGTCTAACACCGTGGCAGATACCCCCGAGGTGGCCTTGGCCAAGTTAGAGCATTTAAAGCGTATCGAATATGAAAAGGAGCGTAACGCTTTGTTAAGCCATTCTAAATTATATACCGCATCAACATTCATACCAACAAGTTTGCCCGTCGCCATTCTACCACGCTTTTACGGCTATAGTTTTGTTTAAATCCAAGCTTGACGATATCTAAGATATATATTTAAAGCATCAACAAGGTAAAAAAAATTAATACATAATATTTTGGAATAGTATATTCTCATTATAAATATGTGTAATATTTTTCACAATAAAATGTATTAATCTATTCGTAAATAAAATAAATAGCTGTAATTTTTGGATTTCAGTAGTACGAATCAGGCATTTGTAAAAATTCGCTTTTGTTATTCAATATAATATTAATTCTTATTGATGGATTTAATCCAAGTATTTACCAAATTTCTTAAACCAAAAATATTGGTTGTTCAACCCATATAATAAGAAACTACGCAGTCCATGCGCTGCTGGTATTTGGTAAGCCTTAATCATTAGCAAAGCGCTATATCAGATGACTATACTGGATTGGATTTTTACAATAGTCTTCGTAAAAGAACATTAATTTTACAATTGTGATTAAAATATAACTTTTTCTTGATCTAAAGTAAACTTTAAGACTGCTCACTATTGTTCAATTACTTAACAAAAAAAAAAAAAGAAATATGAATTTTAATACTCATGCAATCCAAAAGATAGAAACCATTACCTTACCAATTGTCTCTATAAGTTTTGCCTTTTTCGATTATGGCTCAGTCAATGTACCCAATTTTTTGAATGTTCTACTATTTGCACTACTAAATTCTTCCAATGTCTTTAAAGTTCAAATATTAACCTTTGTTATTAAAACACTGAAATCGCAGTGCATAATAACATATTTTGTATTGATCTATTTTTTTATGGAATACGAGATCAATAGAATGTTATCAATACGTAATAAAAAAATACGTGTTAGTATAAGGTGTAGGCAATTATTTTCTTCATCCTCTACTAGTAGTCAAGTTAATATTTACAAAGAAAAATAAAACTTATACATTGCCAAGGAAGCTTTCAAATGCAGTCCACACGAGAGTTGTCCACTAAGACCCTTATTAAAAACATGAAGAAAAACAATTGATTATACAATTACAATTACTCCATGCAAATAAACGAAAAATGTCGGAGTCCTGTTCACACTAAGAGTAAAAGAGCTAAGAACTAAGAACTAACCTAAATGGACCATTCTGTATTATTCTGGAGAACTTCATTCGTGTTTTATAATGTGCTGTCTATGTTTCTATATTCTGAAATTAAACATATTAATATTTTTGCTTTTATGAGAAATATGGCAGTTGTCGTCTTTAATATTTTGTTTTCATATAACAAGAATCCAAGAATCAAATTCAATACATATTTACCTTCTGAACTCAAAAGGTAGAAACAGCGTATTTATCACTAAGTTCCTATATATTACATAGATCTAATTTAATGCTAAGTATAAGTATGATTTATTAATTTGTTTAATTATAACCATTTGGGCATTTGAATCTTAACACGACAAAGAATTTGTTTCTATATTGATATATAATTTTGAACTATATGTGAATTAAATATTCACTTCATTTAAGTCCGCTTCCGTAGTACTTGACTATGAGCGTAATTGTGCAAGATAATACATTTTATTCATCACTACTGTATTATATGCATTTATATACATTAAGACTGAAAAGTTTTCGGAAATTCTCATTTAAAATTCGCGCGCTGTATATTTTTCGATATTTTAAGTTTATGTAGTTTGGCAGCACTGTCCTTAATTACTATGCCAAAAATGAGGACGCGATCTGTTCAGACAGTTCGTTTACGGGCAGCGTTGAAACCAGTTCAACCTCAGTAGTGCGCTTGCGAAATGTCTTTCGACGGTCGTACGACCGTCCTGAAAGGCTTTACCACTCATAAACTTGAGTTTTCGATAAAACTGATTCCCCATAAGCCTTTTGTAGCATTCGCAACGATTCTGCACACGAAATTTCTTTCGAAACACAAAATTTGATGCAAACTCTTTGTTCAATATTTTTTTCCATTGTTTTTTTCGCAACGCACTACTGAGGTGAACTGGTTTCACCAGCTGCCGTAAACGAACTGTCTGACAGATCGCGCTCATTTTTGGCATAGTAATTGTCCTTAATTGCTGCCAAACTACATAAACTTAAAATATCGAAAAATATACAGCGCGCGAATTTTAAATGAGAATTTCCGAAAACTTTTCGGTCTTAATGTATAAGTTTAAAAAAATTACATAAAGCTACTACATATTACAAAGTTACTACTTATACTTCTCAATTTGTTTAAATTAAATCATCTATATAAAATTTAGTATTTGAATCTCAAAACAATGAACGATGTTGATATAGAATATTAGAATATCTATGGACTATATATACACTTCTTTTAAATCTGGTTCGAGTGTAGTTGTCAGCGAACGTAAATGTACAAAATGATATATATATTTTTAATAAATTATTAGTTTTATTACTTGTTTTTGATAATGAACAATATTGACTTTTATTAAAACAATATTGACTTTGAAATAATGTTCTAAATAACAAAGGACGTTAGTATAAATAACATAGGACGTTAGTTATAACGTATCATACATATACCTACATAAAATCATTTTCTATATAATTGTCAACATTTTTCAATAATTGATATTAATTGATCATTAATTTCATTTAGATAAGAAAGTGTAATATTGTAAGAGTAACATAATTCAGAAGTAGACACTTCTAATAGGCGAATATACCTACGATGTGAACAAATTTCATCTCTTCTCCAAAAGTAACATCGTAAAACAGAAGTAATAATAGCAACTGTTCTGATAAAGTTTTTACTAACAACCACTACTATCTGCTTGCTATATATGTATTATTGTATTTAAAAGTTGAATATTTGCATATATACTATGTCGATCAGAAGAGAGTACTCGAAATATAAATCGATTCAAATTATGTCAGATTTTAATATTTGAACACTTTTCTTAGTTTAGTAATCCACAAAAACATGAAATGTTCCAATTGTTACCTTTACTACTGGCAAGTGAATACAACTGCTTTGTGAGGGCGAGGCACGTGGAGGTAGTACTCCATGCAAAAAAGAGGCGCCTGGATGCAGATACAACAGCATGACCTAAAGCAATACCTAGTGATGGTTCCGGGTCA